TGGGATTACAGGCTTGAGCCACTGTGCCCAGCCCAGTTTTTATTTTTTTAATATTTTATATAAATCAACCCATTTATATCTCTCTAAGCAATTCATGCATCGGATACTAGTATCGTGGTTATTACACAGAGGAAGACACTGAAACTCAGAAAGGATGGGCAACGCTCCCAAGTCACACCACTGAGCAAGAGGCAGTGCTGGAAATCATACCCCGGAAGTCTGAACGGAGACCCTCTGTGTGCTACAGGTAATATCCTCCCCTCAAAGGTGTCCTTGTTCTAGTTTCTGTAATCTTTGACAATGTCACCTTCTGTGGCAAAACAGATTTGGAAGTGTGATCAAGTGAACCTTACAGTGGGAGAGATTATCCTGCATTGTTGGGTAGGCTCAATAATAACAAGGGTTTTTTAAGCTGGATGATGGAGGCCAGGAGGGGCAGGCTGAAGCGGGTCAATGTGGGAAGGACTCGCCACCATTGCTGGCTTTACAAATAGAAGGCAGCAATGAGCCAAGAAACATGGGCAGCTTCTAGAAGGTAGAAAGAGCAAGAAAACCAATTTTTCAGGCCGGGCGCGGTGGCTCACGCCTGTAATCCCAGCACTTTGGGAAGCCGAGGTGGGTGGATCACGAGGTCAAGAGATCGAGACCATCCTCGTCAACCTGGTGAAACCCCGTCTCTACTACAAATACAAAAAATTAGCTGGGAATGGTGGCGCATGCCTGTAATCCCAGCTACTCAGGAGACTGAGGCAGGAGAATTGCTTGAACCCAGGAGGTGGAGATTGCGGTGAGCCAAGACTGCGCCATTGCACTCCAGCCTGGGTAACAAGAGCGAAACTCCGTCTCAAAAAAGAAAAAAAAAAAAGAAAACCAATTTTTCTCTACAGCCTCCAAAAAAGAATGCAGCCTTGTCCACATCTTGGTTTAATCCAGTAAACTCAGATTTATGACCAATAGAACAGTAAGACCCTAACGTTTTGCTGTTTTAAGCTAAGCATGTGATTGTTATAGCAGCAATAGAAAATTAACACATCTTCTCATTGTTTTTTAAAAACAACTTTGTCGAGATATATTTCACCATTTGAAATTCATCCACTTCAGGTGCAGTTCTGACTTTTAGTCACTTTACTGAGTCTTGAAAGCATTACTATAAGTCAGCTTTAAAATATTCCCATATTTGGCCGAGTATGGTAGCTCATGCCTGTAATCCCAGCACTTTGGGAAACCAAGGTGGGTGGATCACCTGAGTTCAGGAGAAGAGTCAGGCCAACATGGTGAAACTCCATCTCCACTAAAAATATAAAAATTAGCCAGGTGTGGTCATGGGCACCTGTAATCCCAGCTACGTGGGAGGCTGAGGTAGGAGAGTCACTTCAACCTGGGAAGTGGAGGTTATAGTGAGCCAAGATCGTGCCACTGCACTCCAGTCTGGGCAACAGAGCGAGACTCCACCTCAAAAAATTATATCCCCATATTCCCGTAAGATCCCATTTATAATATATCCTGGTCCCACCTCCAGCCCCAGGCAACTACTAATCTACTTTTCTGTCTCCATAAATGTGCCTTGTCTGAATATTTTACATAAACGGAAACCTACAATATGTGTTCTCTTGTGTCTGGCTTCTTTCGCTTAGCGTGGAATTTCAGGTCCACCCACGATATTGCCTGTGTCAACAGTCCATTCATTCTCATTGCTGAATACTATTCCAGTTAGGAACATATTGGATCTTATCTACATACCAATTGATGGAAATTTCAGTTGTTTCTCCTTTTTCCTATTACGAATAATTCTGTTATGAACAATTTGTGCACAAGTTTTCACATGGACATGTGTTTTCATTGTACTTCTTTTTCTGGAAGTGCAATTGCTGGGTCATATGGCAGTTTTACATTGAACTTTGTGAGGAACTGTTGTTCGAAGTGGCTGTACCATGTTACATTTCGGTCAGCATTACAGTACCACTTGTATTCCTTTTTCTCATTTACCGTTGTCATTCTAGTGGGTGCAAAATAGTATTCCTTGTGGTTTTAACTGATGTTTTCCTGATGACTAACAATGATGAACATCTTTCCATATGCTTGTTAACCACTAAAATATCTTCCTTGGCGAAATATCTATTCATATTGTTTGCCTTTTTTGGATTGTGTTCTCTTTTTATTATTATTTTTGAGATGGAGTCTCACTCTGTCATCTAGGCTGGAGTACAGCAGTGAGTGGAGTCCAGATCTCAGCTCACTGCAACCTCCGCCTCTTGGGTTCAAGCAATTCTCTGCCTCAGCCTCCAGAGTAGCTAGGATTACAGGCACCTGCCACCACACTCAGCTAATTTTTGTATTTTTAGTAGAGACAGGGATTTTACCATCTTGGCCAGGCTGGTCTTGAACTCCTGATCTCGTGATCCACCTGCCTTGGCCTCCCAAAGTGCTGGGATTTCAGGCATGAAATTATTTCAGGCCCCTTATTATTGATTTTTTAAGAGTTAATTGTAAATTCTAGATAAAAGTCCTTCATCAGATTTGTATTTTACCAATATTTTCTCTCCAGCTGTTTTTTTTCATTTTCTTCACACTTTTCGAAGTGCAAGCATTTTGTATTTTGATAAGTCCAATCTTTACCTTTTTTAAAAAGAAATTATGGGACATTCATCTTGTTACACAAAACTCTATCATCTTAACCTTTAGACTGCACGCCTCTCAAAGTAGCTCATTGTTTGATGTATTTACTAGCTTTGTTCAATGTTAGGTTAACTAATCTTAGAGTTATTCAAGAGCTACAGCCCTTAAAATGGAAGGTTGTTACTCCAATACTCTCCAGTGAATTCTGCCAAGTCCCTGAAATGCCTAAAGACCACAGTTCAGGATATTTGGGCAAAAGAAAGTTTTCATGTTTTTTTTTCTTCAGTGTTGCCCAGGAATGGTCAGCGCCTAAGTCAAAATACATAGTCAGCAACACAACAATATGAACGGACTTAATAGCACTGGTCTGTACACTTACAAATGGTTAAGATGACAAATTTTATGTGTACTTAATAATAACAAAATGTTTCATTTAAAGAATTAATTAAAACTCACTTAGAAAAATCGCATGAGATATGTCATATGAAAATGCTAAGATACAACAAAGACCTATAGAGAAAAAAGAGTGGCCTGTGTTTTGCCAGATCTGCCCATATATACGCAGGTGTGCTAAGGAAAAAATCACCACCATGTATATTGAGTTTCAAAAGGACACTGTGTAATATCCTTACACATAACTTATCTCTATTTACCTGATCTGAATCCAACAGGTCATTGCTCTGTCTCACAGAGCGTCTTGTAGAAGCTGGACTGATTTAGCACGGTACCTCAAGACTGAGCACAAGGGCCATGTATGTCATAGAGTTACCGGTGACGGGTATCTTGAGTTACTCTGAGTCACCAGTAGCGAATCCCTATGTATCTGTGGCAACTTTAATTCTTGCCTCCTGAGGAGAATTCGACCGAGGGGCATAAGATAGAAAGAGAGACCGAGGCACGTTTCAGAGCAGGAGTGAAAGTTGATTAAAAAGTTTTAGCGGTGGCTCACGCCTGTAATCCCAGCACTTTGGGAGGCTGAGGCGGGCGAATCACGAGGTCAAGAGATCGAGACCATCCTGGCTAACATGGTGAAACCCCGTCTCTACTAAAAATACAAAAAAAATTAGCTGGGCATGGCTGCACGTGCCTGTAGTCCCAGCTATGTGGGAGGCTGAGGCAGGAGAATTGCTTGGAACCCGGGAGGCGGTGGTTGCAGTGAGCCAGGATCCCACCACTACACTCCAGCCTGCCACCTGGTGATGAAGTAAAACTCTGTCTCAAAAAAAAAAAAAAGTTTTAGAACAGTAAGGAAAGGAAGGAAAGGCAAGAGAAGGAAAGTACCACTTGGAAGGAGGCCAAGGGGGCGACTTACAAAACCAACTGCACAGCTCGACCTCTTGACTTGGGCTTTTTTTTTTTTTGAGACCAAGTCTTGCTCTGTCGGCCAGGCTGGGGTGCAGTGGTGTGATCTTGGCTCACTGCAACCTCCGCCTCCCGGATTCAAGCAATTTTCCCACCTCAGCCTCCCGAGTAGCTGGGACTACAGGCGTATGCCACCATGCCTAGTTAATTTTTGTATTTTTAGTAGAGACTTGGTTTCACCATGTTAGCTGGGCTGGTCTCAAACTCCTGACCTCAGGCAATCCACCCGCCTGGGTCTCCCAATGTGTTGAGATTACAGGCGTGAGCTACTACGTCTGGCCTGACCTGGGGCTTTTATACGTTGGCATTCTTCCAGGATCTTATGGAGAAGCTCCTGATCAGTTTCAGATGTTTTCTCTCTATTAGGAGATTGCTTTTTCTTGGTGCCGGCTGTGGCAATCATTACTGTTGAGAAAAGGTTAGCAACAGCCTGACCACCACCTAGTGGTCACCCAACACTCCTAGTGTGTGTGTGGTCAGGGGAGCCCTCTCCTGCCCTGCTCATGCCTAACCAGCCACCTTCTATAGCAACAGGACGCAGCTGCTCCAAGGTGTGTATTTTAGAACACTTGTCGTTGGTTATGGAAGCTGTTCCCTTTCATGCTGCATATGTCTGCAACATGTAAGAAGACCAAGATTGCTTGCTGCTGTATTTCTAAAAAGGAGAATGTTATGCTGTCTGCAGTCTTTGTATTTGTAGATCACATAGTAGAAAACTGCATGCAGTTTTCGGTCAAACCTAGAGCTATGGGTGAGTGTTGGCTTTTCCACATTCCAGCTGAGAGATTGGAGCAGAAATATTGTCTCTGTATCTTGGTTTCTTTGTCTGAAAAATAAGGATTAAAAATACTGATTGTGTGGTGGTTCTTGGGAAGATTAAGTAAAATCACATGTGTAAAGCTCTTAGTACAATTCCCAGTAACTAATCAAGGTTTCTGGAAAATTCTTTATTAATAATTTTTTTGCTGTTTGCATAAATATAATTATCATTATATTAGTAGCCAGAAGCTAAGATTGGAAATATAGGCAAAGGTTGCAGGCAGGCGATATCTCTGTTTCAAAGGGTTGGAATAAGTGATGCATCCTCACCTCCCACATGGTAACAGATCTCAGTAGGGCAGATACAGTTGAGTACGTCTTATCCAAAATGCTTGGGACTGGAAGCATTTCAGATTTCTGATTTGTTCAGTTTGTGAATATTTGTATGATACTTATGACTGAACATCGCTAATCTGAAAATCTGAAATCCAGAGCCCTTTAGGGAACATTTCCTCAGTGCTGAAAAAGTTCCAGATTTTGGAGAATTTGGGATTTAGGGTTTTTGGATTAAGGATATTCAACCTGCACTGACTGCCTTTGTTGACCCAGATGACAAGTGAGAAAGAAAGAGCTCCCTGCCCCTGTGGGGGAGACATGGGTTTGTATTTAGAATTGGCACACTAAAAACAAGACCGAATAGGGAGAACACTTTTGAGAAATTGTGGAACTTCATAGTTTAGGAATAGATGTGATTTTCCACAAACCTTTCAAGGAGTGTGTTTTTGTCTCTGGTTTTCAACAATTTCCCTGAAAGTATGAAACAGTATCTTCTGGAAGGCAGGATGTGGCGGTCTCAGGATCTGGTGTCAGATGAAGTCAGGTTGGATACCAGCTCTGACACTTCATAGCTGCATGGGCTCGAGAACATTACTTAGCCTCTAGCTATTTAAATGATCTCAGTTCCCTTCTATGTAAAATGGGTATGATGAGAAAACCTTCTCCCTTGGATTGTCATCAGAATTAAGTGAGGTGAAGCTTGTAAAATGCTGAGCATAGGGCCAAGAACACTGTGACCGCTCCGTAATTGGGAGTGACACTCGTCCTCGAATACTGCACGGTCCTTAAAATCCGAAAGTCTTGTACTCCAAGATTCTTAAGTCTGCTGCAAATGATATTATACCAGATTTAGCTATAACAATCCTAATAAAGTTCTCCTAGAGGAATGTACTCCTTTAATGGAATGTCCTGGACAGGACCAGGATATTGGAAGTCTTTTCATATTAAAAAAAAAGTTATGTCCTTCAATGAATTTGGGCCTAATTTGAAAGTATAACCCACAGCCCCAAAATGAAAATTTAGCTCAATGACAAAAGTGTTTTATTGAGCCTTTTTTCTTGACCTGTAAGAGAGTTGGCCACAGTGAAGTTCAGTGTAATAGTAACAAGCCCAGGAGTTTCTGGGGTTCCTTGGACCACCTGGCTGTTCAGAGATTTCCCTAGAAAGAGTCACAGGGCTCTACACATATTGTTTATACAGTTAAGTTTTATTACTGCAATTGGTCAGATACTCAATCGGACCCAAGGGGACAAGATGCTGCTGCAGTTGGTAGGATCCACTTGCAGGATTCTCGTAATCTTTCTCCCACGAAGGCCACACAAAGCACACCCTTCCCCCAACAGCAGAAATGCTGAAAGTTATACTGTGTTTCAACAAAGGGAAATCCATTAAACACTCAGTGCCCAAGAGTTTTACTGTGGGCTGGTCATGTAGACACCCTCTGTCTAGCAGAGGGTATGGCTTATGTGAACACCTGCTTCTTTCTTTTGAGAAGTTCCCAAATTTCAGACTCCCCAGAGGAAAAGCAGGTGTTCACATAAATGACATCATTTGCCAAACAGTTTAGGAACAATGTGCCATCTTATCAATGAACTATTGCCATTGAGAGACAAGTTCCCAGGCGAAAAAGGGCCAACCTTGTCAACAGGCCTTTCTACAGATGACAGTTTCAGCCCAGCTGCTCTTTCTTTGCTGCACACCCTGTGTTGGAGGCTGTCCATGAACTTGACCAAGGCCACACCACTGAAAGGCAGAGATGAGATGACAACCAAGAAGAAGAGTAACTCTCATGCCCTCGTTTCTGCTGGTCGCAAAAGTCTTCTGTGTGGCAGAAAATTTAGGTTAAGCTTCTCCTGATGTTTCCTTGTCAGCCACAACAGCAGACCCCTCATTTCCTTGGACTTCTCCTGAATGAAAACCCAAGGTCTCTTCCCAGCTCTAAAATCACAGGTCACGGTCACCTCTGCATGTGTTCACTGGGGAAAGTAGCAACATCTATTTGATGATGTCCTTGTGAATATTCAAAGTCAGCACACAAGACCATTTCCCTTTCCTTGGCCTTCAGGGAGTATAGTGGAAAGCCAGAAATCACTTCAATTACCTTCTCCTTGGTTCTAGGGCTGAAGGAGGAAGGCAGGAGCCAGACGGGCTGAGGTTCCCAAGCTGGAGGCCCTCCCATTTTCTTATCCTGTGTCTAAGCTGAAGCCACTCTCATCTAGAAGACAAAAGTCAAATACAGTGTTTCCAAGAGCAGAAAATCAAACGCCACATGTTCTCACTCATAGGTGGGTGTTGAACATTGAGAACACATAGACACAGGGAGGGGAGCACTACACACTGGGGTCTGTTGGGGGGAAATAGGGGAGGGACAGCGGGGGGTGGGGAGTTGGGGAGAGATACTGTTGTATCGGACCGAGCACAGAAAGTCAACACCAAAAAGTATGCCAAATTGCAGGGTTTATTGCCGGCGACCACGGAGGACTCACATCTCTCCAACCCGTGACCCCGTAAAAGAGGGTGACAAGACCTTTTATACCCGTAAAATCACCTTGGGGGTGAGGGGAGAGGATGGGGTGAGGGGCTTCAGACATTCCGAGAGCCAGTGGATTCAAATCACCTTCTGGGCGGAGATGAGGGTGAGGGGGTTCCGGACATTCCGAGGGCCAGGGGACTATTTGACATTCGGATTGTCATTTAAGGGGTTCACAGACGCTGAGATTAGCATTCGTTTACACAACATCTGGGTAGGGGTGGGATCCATAGATTTTTATTTACTTGGCGCCAGGATGGAATTATCTGGGGGTGCTTACTCTGGTAAACAAAGGCCAGCAATTCTGGCAGTTACAGACATGCAGTTTTACCTCAATTTGCATTTTGCAAAGTAAACTTAGCAGTTTTACAGAGGCCGAGGTTAGCAGGCATTGTGAGGAGAATGGAAACAGTTTTGTCCTTTATAAAATGGCAGTGTACAGGTTCTAACTCTAGGCTAGCTATATCTCAATACCATGGGGAGAAATGCCAGATATAGGTGATGGGGAGGAAGGCAGCAAATCACACTGCCATGTGTGTACCTATGAAACAATCTTGCATGTTCTTCACATGTACCCTAAAACCTAAAATGCAATACAAAAAGAAAAAACCAATACAGTGTTTCTAACTGAGGAGCTGCTACCTGAAGACTCACTTCCTGAGGCGCAATCTCATCAGCAGTCGAGTTTAACCAGACCCAGCTCAACATAACCTCGTCAATATTCTCACTCGCCTACTTTCGTTTTAATAACACATGTTCTTGTACCTTTCTCATGTAACGTTTATTTTTTATTGCATGTTTCAGATTGATATTTTTATTTTATTTAGTTAGAATAAAAATAGCAGACGGTGGCTCACGCCTGTAATCCCAGCACTTTGGGAGGCCGAGGCGGGTGGATCACGAGGTCAAGAGATCGAGACCATCCTGGTCAACATGGTGAAACCCCGTCTCTACTAAAAACACAAAACATTAGCTGGGCATGGTGGCGCGTGCCTGTAATCCCAGCTACTCAGGAGGCTGAGGCAGGAGAATTGCCTGAACCCAGGAGGCGGAGGTTGTGGTGAGCCGAGATCGCGCCATTGCACTCCAGCCTGGGTAACAAGAGCAAAACTCTGTCTCAAAAAAAAAAAAAAAGAATTAAAGTAGCAGATACTAGGTCATTATTTCCGTTCAACTTTCTCATTCAGTAAGATCTTAAATTGCTCTGTTATTTTGCATCTGCAACAGAAATAAACAAAATGTGACAAAATGTAGATCACATCAAGTGTTTATGGCCCATAAAAAGTGCATGCCATCTACAAACCTTTCCAGGTAATTATAAGTATGCGAAAATAATGTAACTGTGAGGCATTTGAGATGGAATCCATAGTAATAATCTCTTTAACACAGTTGTAAAAGCGTTAATTTATGATTAAGTATAAGAAATATTCTGTGTGGCCCGGAGCTGACAAAGTCAAATTCAATCCGAAAAACCCCTTAGTAAAGACCAGCACTATTTGAGAAGCAAGAGATTGGGGTAGATCAGTGAGTTTAAAAATAAATGCAGTTTGAAAATTTAAGTACAAACTATTTATAGTGAGAGATGGTGGTGGGAGACCCCTTCCAGCGCAATGATTCTAAGACTATAGGATTATAGGATTTGTCATGCCAGTTTATGCACACACACATTCAATATTAGTATCTCCTGCTCAATGGAGAGGCCCACAATCTAATCAAAATTTTTAGGCAAAGCTAGTGTGAAACCACTGAAGAATATTCTTTAGCTGTTAAAACATATAATAAACATTTTCCTAAAATGATACATCCTTTATTTCAGTGTTCCTAGCCCAAATACTGCCAAAACTGCTGTGCAAAAGATGAGTTTACCTTCCTCATTTAGGATACCTACTGATGATCCCTTACTGAGTCAATAAGGGTGTTTCTCTAATCTACAGAAAATAAATATGGGGGCTTGTTGTAATTTGGTTCATATGTCATGATTCCACAACTGTTATCCAAGCTAGAAATCACAAGGCGAAAGATGCTGCATTTTTATAGATATTAACCACATCTACATTTATGAATTATTCGTGGCTTGCCAGTGAAGTAGCAGGTCCCGCATATCCTAGAAAGGTGGATCTGTGACCACAGTTGTGCTCAATCGAATATTTTATTTTGGTGGTTTCATTGGTTTCCACATATGTCTTTCTCTCACTGTATTGAAATGCCAGTTTAAAAGTTTGTGCAATAGATAAAATGGAAGCCATTTATTTTGTACGTTAAATAGGTCCTTTGATTAGAATGTATACATTCCTATTGTAAAGGAACTGTTTTTGTCATTTAAATTTAAAATTTTCATCACAAGGAAAGAAGAAAATGTAAGTATCCAAAGCCCCGTATCCCTGAGATGAACAGTATTAACTTCCAGTAGTTTTTCTATATGTACATTTAAAGAAGATACAATTAAAATAATTCGTATTGTTTTCACACTTCATGTTATATCTTCAGCATTTGTGGGACCATTAAAATCTTTGAAAACAGGATTTTTGTTTAAAATCTTTGAAAAACACTCTGGGGTGTAGATTCCTGAGAGCCTATGGTTTTTGGTGCCACAGAGCTCCAGCAGCTTCATATAGGTGGGAGGGGTGGAGGGAGCTGGGGATTGAATGGCTTCTGGGGAGTCCCTGTCCCCTGTTCTTCCTCATAAGCTGATATTCTCTGTGCATCACCACCAGTTTTATCGGTACCAATATGCTTTTCACTGTATGTAAATTAATGTTTGTTTTTATCTCTAAGAGCAATCTCTTGTACCTGATCACTGCATGCTTGAGCCATGGACAGACAGTGAAGCAGATCCTCAGAGCCCTGTTCCTGCTTTTATGCTTCTTTCTTTACACAACAGGCAACGCTCCTGAGCTGATGTTCTCTGTCTATCACCACCAATTTTAGCACTATGAATATGCTTTTTGCTATATGTAGTTAATTTATGTTAATATTGCCTAGGTTTTCTTGAGTTTTTATGGTTTTAGGTCTCACATTTAAGTCTTTAATCCATCTTGAGTTAATTTTTGTATAAGGTGTAAGGAAGGGGTCCAGTTTCTGCTTTCTGCATATGAGTAGCCAGTTTTCCCAACACCATTTATTAAATAAGGAATCCTTTCTCCATTGCTTGTTTTTGTCAGGTTTGTCAAAGATCAGATGGTTGTAGATGTGTGGTGTTATTTCTGAGGACTCTGTTCTGTTCCATGGGTCTATACATCTGTTTTGGTACCAGTACCATGCTGTTTTGGTTACCGTAGCCTTGCAGTATAGTATGAAGTCAGGTAGTGTAATGCCTCCTGCTTTTTTCTTTTTGCTTAGGATTGTCTTGGCCATGTGGGCTCTTTTTTGGTTACATATAAAATTTAAAGTTGTAATTTCCAACTCTGTGAAGAAAGTTAGTGGTAGCTTGATGGGGATAGCATTGAATCTATAAATTACTTTGGGCAGTATGGCCATTTTCACTATATTGATTCTTCCTATCTATGAGCATGGAATGTTTTCCCAACTGTTTGTGTCCTGTCTTATTTCCTTGGGTAGTGGTTGGTAGTTCTCTTTAAAGAGGTCCTTCACAACCCTTGTAAGTGTATTTCTAGCTATTTTATTATCTTTGTAGCAATTGTGAATGGGAGTTCACTCATGATTTGGGTGTTTGTCTATGACTGGTGTATGGGAATGCTCGTGATTTTTGCACATTGATTTTGTATCCTGAGAATTTGCTGAAGTTGCTTATCAGCTTAAGGAGATTTGGGTCTGAGATAATGGGGTTTTCTAAATATACAACCATGTCGTCTGCAAAGAGAGAAAACTTAACTTCCTCTTTTTCTAATTAAATACCCTTTACTTCTTTCTCTTGCCTGATTGCCCTGGCCTGAACTTCCAATACTGTGTTGAATAGGAGTGGTGAGAGGGGGCATCCTGGTATTGTGATGGTTCTCAAAGGGAATGCTTCCAGTTTTTGCTCATTCAGCATGATATTGGTTGTGGGTTTGTCATAATAGCTTTTATTGTTTTGAGACACATCCCATCAATACCTAGTTTATTGAGAACTTTTAGCATGAAGAGTTGTTGAATTTTGTCAAAGGCCTTGCATGTATTAAAATAATCATGTGGCTTTTGTCATTGGTTCTGTTTATGCAATAGATTATGTTTATTAATTTGTGTATGTTGAACCAGCCTTGTATCTCAGGGATAAAGCCGACCTGATCATGGTGAATAAGCTTTTTGATGTGCTGCTGGCTTCAATTTGCCAGTATTTTATCAAGAATTTTTGCATCAATACTCATCAGGGATATTGGCATGAAATTTTCTTTTTTTGTTGTGTGTCTGCCAGGTTTGGGTATCAGGATAATGGTGGCTTCATAAAATGAGTTAGGGAGGATTCCCTCTTTTTCTATTGTTTGGAAGAGTTTCAGGAGGAATGGTACCAGCTCCTCTTTGTACTTCTGGTAGAATTTGGCTGTGATTCTCTCTGATCCTGGACTTTTTTTTTGGTTTGTTGACTATTAATTGCTGCCTCTATTTCAGAACTTGTTATTGGTCTATTCAGGGATTTGACTTCTTCCTCCTTTAGACTTGGGAGGGTGTATGTGTTTGGGAATTTATCCATTTCTTCTATATTTTCTAGTTTATTTGCATAGAGATGTTTATAGTATTCTCTGATGGTG